AAAGGGCAGGATGTGAGGCATGAATGAGAAGGCAGAGTCCAAGATGGTTTCAATTGTTGGGGTCCCATAACGGGAAGGGTCGGTTGTCATTTACTGAGGTGGAAAGGCGGAGTGGGGGCAGATGTGGAAGAGGATCAGCTCAGCTTCAGACACCTGACATTTGAGATGTCTATTAGGCTTCCAAATGGAGCTATGGGGTAGGTGGTTGGAAATACGTATGGAGTTTAGAGAAGGGATCTGGGCTGATATATAATTTTGGGAGCTTCATTATGTCTGTACAGGCCATGGAACAGGAGCTAATCCACAGGCCGGAGGAGGTCAGCAGGGCAGAGCAGAGGGAAGACAATTAAGTGGCAGTTGTGTGGTCCTTTAATGTTTCTACAGGTGAAGAGAAGTGGGAATTTGTGGGCTGGAAGTGATGGAGCAATTTTCATGGAACTGGTCCTTGCAGCGGGTAATGTTTGGAGGGTGTAGAAATAATGAGGAGAGGGCATTTGGGTTAAAAGGTACCAGGATTAAACACTCTGCAGTCCCTTAGTAGGAAGGTAGTAGGGAAGACGTACCAAGATCCTGGTAGGTTTCTCACACGTGGAAGAGGAAGGACGTCCAGTCTCTGTTCAGTCTGTTTCCTGGGATTGTGATATGCAAATGGTAGTGAGACTTGGGTCCCATTAAAATCTCGAACGTTTTCCAACACTTTGCTAACAGCTTTTCCTCCTAATCCTTGCAGCTGGTGCCGCCTTATATTTTGTCGTAACTTGAAACTGACATGTGGGGAGTTTTAAATACATATGTTATCAAAACAGATGTTTCACAGACTTTATAGACGATCAAGAGGTCATCTCATCGTTCAGAAAGCAGCCTGGAATTTGAATTTAGTTCTCCCCATAATTTTATGTTCTCCAAAGTAACTCCGTGGGAAATGTAAAATTTATTAGCAACTTTGTCTTACTCTTGGATTTTAGAGAAATGCCTACTTCAGTAAACCTGAGCAAAATTATGTGCTGTGTTACCTACAGGCAGATTACTGAATAGCTTTATTTGTCTGGTGATAAATCTAAGGTAAATTAGAGTCCTATCCCTGTAACTCTGGGGTTATATTTCATTAATAAAAACAAACAAAAAAACCACTGCATTTTCCCCCTGAAGTCAAGTGATAATTAAAGCAAAAATGAACTTCATAAAATAATACAAAGGATGCCAACTTCAGAACAAATAGAGAAATTTTGCCTCGTGTTCTCTCTCCCCCTATTATTTTTTTTTTACTAGAATCTCGATGAGAATCAAGTCCTGCTTTTATTCCGTGTAAAAGTTTCTCATGGAGTTGCAAAAGCTGTGGACTTTGGCAGAACTCCCTGAGGTAAGAGCAAATGATGTATTTCCTTGTTCCCTTTACTGAAAGAATGTCTTTAAAACAATGCGGTGGTGTTGATAGTTTGGCATAACCAGGTGTGACAGTTATGTGTCCCCATTTTTTCTCTGGGTTTCAAGGAGCTACCGAGAGCAACCCCGGAGGCCTCGGCAGTTTGTGGGTCAGGCCCGCTAGGTGTGGGGTGGAAAGAAGTGTGATGAGCCCACAGCACTGTCAGTAGAACTTTCTAGTCTCTTCTGTGGTGACAAAAACATCTCTCTGCACTGGCCATTTTGGTAGGCACCAGCTACATGTGGCTACTGAGTTCTTGAAATATAGCCAGTAAAGTCAGGGAACTGGATTTTTCATTTCATTTAATTTTAATTTACTTACATTTAAGTGGTGACATGTGACTAGTACCTGCTGTATTGGACAGTGTGGCTTGAGCAGACGGCTTACCTTGGATTTTCTGGGACATGAGGTGGGCAAATGCCCACCCTGCCCTTACTGGGGCCTCCTCACCACCCTGGTGAGTGTCCAAAAACATATCCTTCATGTACAGACACAAGGCCTACGCTGCACTATGCAACTGGCGATAGAACAGGACTTTATGAAATACCTCTCCCCTGCCCTTAACGTTAGTGGGGGAAGACAACAGGAAAAGGTGGAATGACGATAAATGAGATGGAGTAGTTGCTATGGCCTTAAAGACTTTTTATATTAAACAAGCATGATATTCAAAATAGCCAATTTAAATATTTGAATATTTTATTACTGATTACAAAAGAGAATTATCCCGAGGAGTAGACTTTAGAGGCAACATTTCGAGATACTCATTTTACTAGTGTCCTGAAAGTAGGAATTCTGTGAGGGGCCAATTTCTGACCCTGAGGAGGATTGCTTATTTATAAGGAGCACTCTTAAGGTTTTAATTAATTTTTGAAATTTAAGAGTGGATTATTGAAGGCCTACTGTGTGCTTTCACATAAATACCAATGGGGTGTGTGGCACTGTGATCCGGGAAGGGGACTGTTAAGGAGAGGGGCACGTAGCACGGGCTGTTAAAATGGCTATGATAGGGACGCTGAAAGGCAAGGAGGAAGGTTGGGTGTGTGACAGGGACAGACCGTGGGCCCAGCCTCAGAGTTCTCGGTTGGAATGTTGGTGTAATGGAGAATGCCAAATTGAATTATATTCCAGATCCCGGTGGGTGGTCAGAGGGAGAAAGGAGGCCTTTGCCTCTCATGATCAGTTTTACACCTGCAGGAGTTTGACACCCTAGCAGTCTCATCGGTACTGTGAAGAGCTGTCCACCTCCTGTATCAGGAACGGTCCCCCTGGAATTCACAGAGAAGGATGTTAAAAAAGATTGGTTGATTGATATTTCTGTGGTCATTCTGCCACTCTCAACCATAAAGCTGAATGGAGCTTACGTGCCAGTGACTCTGCCTCACTTGCCATCTACATGAGGAGGAAAATACTGTGTACATGGAAGAAGAAAACTAACAATAAAAGGTGCCACGAGGTCCCAGATGAGTGGTGCAGACAGGAAATGCCGTATCCTACAGTTGTCTTCAAAGACACCCAGGGCCATCAGGTGGAAGGGCCATTGTACTTACTTTCTGGGGCCCCAGAAGGCAAAACTGGCGGTGTTTTCTGTACGTAAAGAAATGGTTTTTGTAGGCCCGTGGATGCAGAGCACTCTGGGGAGGGAGAGTGATTTAGGAGAGGACCTGGTGTGCGGAAGATGAAGATGTGAGTGCTGGCAAGCTGCTGGGAGATTCATTTCAGTGAAAAGGAGGGAACGCTTCAGAGAACAGAAGAGCCTGCTAGGAGGGGGCTAGCCCCTTCACTGGAGCTGCTCCCAAAGAGACTCCCAGGTCCCTGAATGGGAGAGGGGGGCACATGCAAGGAGAGCAAATTGCTGACCATGGGCCCAATCTAGCTTTCTGCTTCCTTTTATAAATAAAGTTTTATTAGAAGCCAGCCGTGCCCATTTGTTTAAACTTCATGAGTGGCTGCTTTCACACTACAATGGCAGAGGTGAATAGTTGTGACAGACCCTAGGGCCAACTAAGCCTAACTTATTTACTATCTGGCCCTTCATAGAAAAAGTACGCTGGGTCCTACAGAAGGTTGGACCGAGGGATATATAAAATCCTTTCTAGTTCTCTGAATGTAAGGGATTCAAAAGAGAAAACGGCCTCTGCTAGGAGCAGGTCATTGTACATGACGAGTTAGGCATATCTCAGGGGATTGAGTCAGTGTTTCTGAACACAGGGTACAGACTCATTCATTCATTCATTCATTCATTCATGGGCATATCTCAGGGGATTAAGTCAGTGTTTCTGAACGCAGGGTACAGACTCATTCATTCATTCATTTTTATGCATCCAGCATATCGTTGGCTGATGTAGATTGTAATCCAAAACACTTCTTTGCCTGCTCTTGGTAAAGTAAGTGCAAACTCTGGAGTGAGCTGTTGGCATTTTGATAACTTTGCTACTATGGAAATGCTCATTAAGTTCACTGTTTATAATTAAGTTTTATGGAGTTATTTTATTTTAAGTATAATGGTCTCACCTAGACACAACTTAGAATTTATTCACGTGTTTGGCTTAATTGTCGGATGTAAGAAGTGATTGTTCCAAAATGAAAACCTGGCTGTATTGGCAGGAGAGGCAGCTCGCAACGTTAAGGATGGGATGCACATTACTATTCATGCCTTTTTAATTAATTAGCCTTTAAGGCTTCTGAAAGCCTCTAAAAGTTGTTTTGTCAACATTAGACCAGCTGCTGTGTAATTATGGGAGCTCTTCTTGCAGTTAAATTCTTTTAATAACGTGTTCAATCTGCCGATGCCAAAGTGCTTTGAACCTGTGATATATTCTACAGAGAGGTTTTGTTTTTACTTACAGATGGTTGGTGCCGTTTTCTGGGGAACTCTGTAGAATTTTCACAGAAATTTTAAAGACAAATTACTTCAAAAGGGAAGGAAAATGTATTTGAACATCAGGTTTCTCCTCCCCCTATTACATGTGACTTGAATTTTGAACTTGACTCATAGCAACCTAAATATGCTCATTAAAAAAAGAATTCTCCACCTTGAAGCCTTTTAAGGCGCTTTAATCTGACTCTAGCTTGTAAATGAAAACTTTTTGGCCCCAGTCAGATGATGGTGAAAGCAGTGGGCTTGTGATAAAGATCGCTGCTTAACCAGGAACCAGGCTCGGAGCAGCCAGGCTCAGTGGTGATGGTGCTTTCTGTGAAGGGGGCTGAAGCTGTGCTTAGACACTTGAATGCCACTTTAGAGTGTGTTTTGCTGTCTTCTAAAGGGGTTTTATCCTAAGTCTGGCATGAGAAGGTATAACTAGGGATGGGACTGGTGTCAGAAAGATGCAAACAATATCCTAGGCTTCTTCCCTCTGGTCCTCACGGCTCCTCCCCTTGTCCCCTTGTGCAGTGTCTCTGTGGACAGGTTGCACTGGTGCTTAAGGCAGGTACGAGGAGGGCAGTGATGATGGTCGCTGTGGAGGTTACTTCTGCTAGTTCAGGCCATCTAAGTAACTTCTTTCCTGTAGCATTTTAAGAAAGACAAAACCATCTGACCTAGAGGCACAGTTCTTCCGCATCAGAAAAACAAGAGACTAGACGGGCCGCAGCTGGTTCTTTCTGGCCCCTGTGTTCAGTTTGTGTTAAGGAATGCATCTATGTTATTGGGAAACTGTGACGTGAGTCCCTCAACCACCTGTATTCACCTTTTCTCTCCACTCGGCAGTGTAAGGAGGCTTGGGGAGAAATTGACCTTTAACTGTATGAAAAGGCCAGCATGCTTCATAGAAACAGGAATATGAGTGATCTGACAAATCTGGAGAAGGAGCTGACCTTGACAGTCAGGGCTTACTAGTATATCACAGCCCGGCTAGCTGAAAGTTGTACGTCTTTGCTCACTCACTCAGATGTGCTGATTTCTTTACATGACGCTCTTGAGCCCTGAGAATTGAGGCATTTGGGGGAGCATGAATATGTAGATGGAAAGTACTTGTGTGCTATGAAGTAGCCATTGAGATGCTGGTATAAAAAGAACTAGAATTTATTTAATAGAAAGTTGCCTACATTAATTATGTTTTTTTCTTGTGGGATAAAACTTGTTCCTAGTAAATAAATTCATCATTTTAAAGTTAGATTAATTATTAATTCAGAGTATTTTTAATATTTCAAGTTGGTAGAATAATCTACCCATGTGTGATCAAGAAAACTACCTGAATCTTAGTGTGCTGTCACTAAATATCAAAACTTGTTAATATCACTATACATTTTTTTGGTCACATCACCTTTTGCTAAGTTACATAGTTTACATTGATATGACCGGAATTAAATCTGCCTTCAAGTGTCAATTGTAATTTCTTGCATGATACCTGGTCTTCTAATTAATTTTACCATGTAAACATTATTCATACATAATGTTTATCATATTAGCATTTTATATGCGTTCTAAAAGTCTTGCAGATATTTTTAGAAAATTATAAACTTTCAAAATTTTTCTGAAGGCTGCAAAATTGTTTTTGTTACTTTCCCATACTTTCACATTACCTTGAGATTGCATTAAATCAGGGCAAGAAGATGTGACTTTAACCTCTGGAACTAGGAAAAGCCCTGATATTCTTCAATCTACATACATATGTTTGTATATATATCCATGCATACGAGTTGTAAGTTCCCAAAGAACCCCAGTATCAGCAAGACAAAGGACTTGTGCACGCTCAGATGGCCAAATGGTTATGGAGGTCTTTGCTCATCAAATTAATCATCCTTCTAAACGTCCTATTATATTCAAAGATACTCAGATAAATTTTTTTCTTAAGAAATATTTAGATTCCTGTACATGTACAGCAAAAACCAAACTCAAATGAACTTAGGAAAATTTATTTTTAAAGGGTTCTTATGCATGGAGCAGAATGGATCTTTGTCTTGCCTTTAACGTATTTTCTTTAGACTCTGTAAGGATT